CTAATCCCAAATCCCGTGTTAGAACAAACCTATTATTAAATAAACGTAAGCAAAACAAAATCAAGTCATGACGACGATGAAAAGGAAAAATTATCCTTGTGTAATATTATGTTTAGCAATATAAGCAATAGAAATAAATATATGCAAAATGTCCATGACGTGGACAATAGAAATAATGTCTGTTTGGTGAAATATTCTTTATGTTAAAATTTTAAAACGTTCACAATATATATGAACACCTTTTCACGGAACATTATGTACAATTAATGGAAGAAACTTATATGAACATATGTATTTAGGTATTAATGTCTTCATGATAATAATTAAAAAAAAAAAAACCAAAAATTAATAAATATTACAACTTTCGGACATGATTTAAGACAGGGTGATCCAACCATTTGTGGATCGCGGGTCAATATACACTTTCTTAAACACACCGGGGGGCCGCCAGAAGAAGAAAAATTATATTTTGTCTATTTATATTTTATTTTATAATTTTATATTATGCGCATATAATTACATTACAGAGTATAAGTTACTTACAGTTAAAATTAATTAGAATTTAGAATTAGTTAATTAGTTAATGTGATGATTGACATTGTTTTTTCACTAGCCAAGTTTTCGAAATCAATTGAGCACCCTGTGGTGGCTAACCTAATGCACGATTCTAAAGATGAATCTAGAAGACGGTTAAAAAAAGACATCAAGGGCCGCGGGTTGGACCATCCTGATTTATGATATACTGGATATCCAACGATCGATGATAAGAAAATCTCGAAACTAACTTCGATTGCAAATGTCTTGCAGTGCTGCGAGTAGATAAAATTAACATTCAGTGATCAAATTTATCAGTATTGATTACAACATATAATTATACAAAATATTCAGAAAAAATAAAAATGTTTGTGGTTAATACATTAATGCTTTTTACTTGTATACATGAGTGCGTGTAAAATGGCTGACAATAAAACAACCAAAAATCTAGTGATATAGCTGAAATACAATTTAGCCATCAAATATAACAGCTGACCGTATTTTAGCCAACAAATATTTGATAAACTGGTTTTTAACTTATAGATAAACATAGATAAGATAAGGTGACAACCACGGTTATTGTATTTATCGACTGAAATATTGTCCTTTGTAATCTGTCAGTTAGAGTATTATCGGTTGTATTTTTTGACGGCTAAAATACTGTCGGTAATATTTTTTCGCTAAATTGCTGTATCCCGTATAAATTACCACTAATATGATAACAAGCGCTAGATGTACTTTACAACAGCTGTTTTGACGAGTCACTTCGGTTCCCTCTAACCTAATTGTTAATTCACGCTCGTTGGGTGTTCCAGCACGGCTATAGATAAAATATGGTTGCGAAACTGGCCTATGCTGAATGAAGAATCGAGACAGAATGTTAATGAAAAGTAACGTGACTAATATAAGCATACTAAAGCGCAACCTACCGACAGAAAATATAATATAGAATATAGCCTCATAGATTAGGCTATAACAACAAACGATAATAAAAATGCTCCCTTCCCCTGCAAATATGAATTTGATTTTTTTTCTACTACAGTTAATTAAATATTATTTATTCTCAGGTACATAGTAAAAAGATAAAAACTAAAATGTAAATGTATAACTTGTTTAAATTGTTCGAGTTCAGACTTTGACCAATTTTACATCCAGTCTCAGATTTAATGAATATAAAAACAAGAGTTTATCTAATTCATCCTAATCATCATGTTTATTTAATTATAAAATCATTCAAGTTCATTTTTTGAGTAGTCTCCAGTGGTATTCGAAGAAACACAGATTGAATTGCTATAAAATTATCATAATATTTTATTTATAACATTGAATTATAAAGAACTTAAGATATAATACTCGCAGAAATGTTTATTATTTATTTAACTATGAGAATATGTTAACATAGTTTTTTTGAAAAATATTGAAGTAGTAATTCAGTTGAACAAAGAAAAAAAAAATATCCAAATTGATTAGTTCTTAAATAGTAAATTAAGCACCTGTTAATACCTAATACGTCCATAATATTCGATGTCCAATGTACCTAGTTAATACATTTATAACCTAGAGTAGTGCTTCCCAAACTTTTTCAACTCATGGCTCACTTGATATAAAGCTTTTTCAGAGAGCCCTTCCCCAAGCCATAGCATGACTAATCATAAAGAAAATTTTAGACCCGATAGTATTTCATAGCGGCGCGGCGCCCCTGTATAGACATCGCGACGCACACTTTGGGAACCGCTAACCTAAAGTGTTGTATGCTGCTGTGAAAACCAATATACCTTTTGAGCTTCACATTTTGCAGTCGTTCTGTAACCGTATTATCTATAGCCATGGTATCCAGTGTATCTTTGTGCTTTTGGACAAGAGCTTATCAATCGTATTAATAATTTATAAGATTTGTTTTTAGTAGTTATTGGTACGCGTATGCGCGTGTGAAGCGTGAAACTAGCTACAGTGATCCGCTCGTTTGATAAGCATATTAAAATAATATTTATCCATATTTTGGGTAAATATAAAAAAACCTTGGGTATTTACTCGTACATATAAGTCCAGAGTCGACATTTTTCAGTAGATTACATTCGTAATTGTGTGGGGAACTTTAGTAATCGAAATTAAATTATTAAGTATAAAAATAAAAGGAAAAATTTAAAATAAAGAAAATAATTTCACCTTAACTATGTGTATATATTCATACATGGGTATTTATATGGGAAAATACCCAAAATATTTGTCTAGTCTTGTCTTACCATGATTACCCATGATATATCACAAATATACACTTACTAGAAATTGATTTTAACAATTTCGTAAAATTTATTTATGTTTTTAATTCCTAGCCAGAAAAAATGATTGATAAAAAGTAACAGTTTATTAAAAAGTGTCCTCGATAAAATTGATTTTCGTTAAATTTACTTCTATTAACCTGATCATTAATGCTTAATTTAACAGTATTTAAGACCTAATTATATTAATTAATAATTCCACTACAATGTTTGTTTTATCATTAAAAATCAGTATTTGTTAAAACTTAGGTGTGTATTTAATTAATTGCAAGCGATTATGTTATTGATCTGTTATAAATAATTATATTTAAAGAAAATAGATGAGTGATCGTTTAAAATATAACATACTGTATACTATATAACTATAGGGTATATCAAAAAGAACGCAGGATTTATTATAAATTAAGTTAATTTACTTTTAAAAAAACATAACAAATATATTATTCTTTTTAGGAGAAGTTAAGGTTGAACATTGAAAAATAATATCTGGCATATGACCCTCCTTACTTTCCCTATAGGAGATTATTCTTTCCAAAAAATTTACCATCACTGGATCACGCATTGCTCCATCGAGTTCGTTGAGGACACAACGAATTTCTTGCTTAAGTTCCAAGACATTTCGCACTTAGTTCCGGTAAACTCGTCATTTAGTGTGTCCCTATAAGAAAAAAATCACATGGCGTCAAGTTGGAAGATCGAGGTGGATAGCTTTGGCCACGCAACGAGATTAGTCTGTCCGGGAATTTCTCACGCAGCTGAAAGATTGTTTCTCTTGAAATATAACAAGTTGCGTCGTCTTGTAACCATTCAAGAATACCTACTGAGCTCAGTAATTTTCTTTGGTCTTATTTAGGCCAAATGAACATAACAAATGTTTGGTTTCAACTTCTCACACGCCTGTGAGGCTAGTAGGTAGGGTCATATGTCCGATATTGTTTTTCACTTCTTCTGAAAAGAATGATATATTTGTTATGTTTTTTTAAAATTAATTTAATTTATAGCAGGTTTAAAACGTGCTCTCTTTTTGAAACGATCCTATATTTAATGTTTGTATTTTGTCTTTTCTTAATTTTAAACTCTTGTAATCAAATGAGTATTTACATGTTTAGTTTAGTAATTTTATTCTGATTTATTTAGATTTGTCGAATTTTAAGTATCTTTATTTTTTTTTTTTAATTAGTAAAAGTAAATTAAATTTATATTGGTATTTAATTCGTCATAAATATTAATAATTTATTAATAAATTATTTGTTTATTTTGGACTGATAAAATATATTAAAAATTAAATCATAAATTCAAATAATTTTGATAAATTATTACTAATTTTGAGTTTTGTGCTTTTATTGTCTTATTGATATACATTTTTTCATTTCAAACGTTTAATGTTACATTATATATTGCTAATGGAACTATGACACTCTTTACTAAAACATATTCAATGATACAAAGCCTAATATATTGTTATAATTATATAAAAGTATAATACCCCATAAAAGTATTTTACCCTGGTAAAAGGACGTTTGTTTCGTCCCCATCTATTATTAAGATAGAACATTTGGCTCCTGGAATTTTAAATCACTAAATTTGATTTTTTTTTTTTTAGCTTAAAATTTGAGTTCGTTTTAAAACGCACATTTGCACAACAAATTTTTAATCAATCCACATTAACCATATATTGCATAAGCCGTAGTACACGCCACAATCGGTGAATGGTTACAGGCACGCATCAATAAAAAAAAAAAAAACAATTATAATGATAATAATAATAATTTAGGTACAATAATTATTATATTAAATAAACATAAATTATAAATCAATATAACTCCCGAGGACCAAATTTCCTATTTTAATAATAGACGAGGATGAAACGTCCGTGAACTCGTTATTATGACGGGGACGAAATGTCTGCCATACATTATATAACTTTATACGAATTCCTGTTATTAAATAGCTTTGATTTACTTTAATTTATATCATGAAGAAAAAAAAAAACTTATTTTTCCATTACAAATTTCAAATTGTTGACTATTATTTTATAGCTACTAATACTAATATTTTATAGATTTCTTTAATATGACTGATAAAATATGTCAATAAAAGTTAAGCCAAACTTAAGATATTTTAAGACTATTAATGTTTTGTTAATTATTATTAGAATATATTTATAGTATTTGTTTGTTTTAACAGAGAACTCGTAAAGAAAAAAAAACATATTCAGAAGATTGGGCGTTCGGAGATGAAGAAGAAATTGAAGGTGTACGATCTTTTAGTCTTCAAGATAAACTTGACTCAACACGTTATACACATTCCAATTTTGTTAAGCAGATGGACGGAAAAGGTATGAACTCCCTACAAAGTTTAAATACATTTTTGTGTTTTTTGTCTACTAATTATAACTTTAATGTGTCATTTAGATTTTACTATTTCCTACTTACAAAAAAATGGTTTTACAATACCATTGTTGTTTAATGATAAAGTAGGTCTCGGTTTACATGTTCCGAGTCCAAATTTTTCTGTAAATGATGTTCGTACTTGTGTAGGTAAGTTTCAACAATCAAAATTAGTTTATGGATTATATAATTAATGAAAGGAATAATTTAAAATAAAGAAAATTATCATACCCCTTAGCTATATATAAAGATCCTTAATTTAATTATTTTTGACCCATTAACATTTTTTTTTTCACAGCAATTATCTTAGTTAAAAATTAAGTTATATTCTTCAATTTATGAACAGTATTCAGTTGTACTAAAATCATTTTTTAGGTTCAAGAAGAACGTTAGATGTAATGGATGTAAACACTCAAAAGAACTTTGAAATGACAATGAAAGAATGGACTAAGTATTATGAAGAACCAGTTAAAGACAAACTATTAAATGTAATTTCACTCGAATTCAGCCACACAAAACTAGAAAATTACATAAAACGTCCTAATATTGTACGTATCCACAGATTAAGAGAACTTGTTATTATTTATAATGCCGTCTCTTCTTAAGACCAACAACACAATATATTATAATTTCTTTATTGGTTTAACATTTTATACTATAATTTATTAATATATTTGTTTGTAGGTGCGAGAATTGGATTGGGTTGATTGTGTTTGGCCCAAACATTTGAAAGAAAGTCAAACAGAATCAACTAATGTAATAGATGATATGATGTATCCAAAGGTACAAAAGTATTGTTTGATGTCTGTTAAAGGCTGTTATACAGATTTTCATATTGATTTTGGTGGTACATCTGTTTGGTATCATATATTAAAAGGGAGCAAAGTAAATTTTGTATTATATCTAATTATTATTATAGTCTAAATATATTTTTTGTTAACTTGAATTCCAGGTGTTTTGGTTAATACCTCCTACGGAACAAAACTTTAAATTGTATGAACAATGGATATTGTCTGGCAAACAGGGTGACATATTTTTCGGTGATACTGTTGAGGAATGTGGACGTGTATCATTGAACGCAGGAGATACATTTTTCATACCTACTGGTTGGATTCATGCTGTTTATACTCCTAAAGACTCTTTAGTATTTGGAGGAAACTTTTTACATTCCTTTGGCATTGAAAAACAACTCCGTGTCGCAGAAGTTGAAGAGTCCACCAAGGTCAGTAAAGTTATTAGTCTTGTTATTAAAACTAATTTTTTTTTTTTCGTAGGTTCCTCAAAAGTTTAGGTACCCCTTTTTTACCGAAATGTTGTGGTATGTTTTGGAACGTTATGTTTATTGTGATTTGGGTATATCTCATTTAGAAGAAAGTGCTGAAACTTCTCCAGCCCCAGTTGAACATCTTCATTTTACTAAACAGGTATACTACTGAATATTATTTTTTCTAACTAGTTATGATTACTATACTTACAAATTAAATAATTGTGCAGGAGCTTCATGGCATTAAAGCAATAGTAAGATATTTACATGTATTACCATCTAATAAAAAAAGTGTTCCTCCTCTTATCAAGAATGCTATTGAGTTAATAAAAAATGTAGCTATCGTTATAAATAAACATAAGAATGATAAACCTGAAGATGCTATTAGTGGTAAACCAATTCTTAAAATGCAAGGAGACAAAGTATGTTCTTGACTTAGAAACTTATTGTTTATATAAAATTTGACATTTTTATATTATTTTATTTTATTTTTGAAAAGGAAAGAGAAAGAAGATTTTACAAAACTGCTGGAGACATGAATAGCAAAGTGAAAATCCGCAAAACAGGAAATGCGGCTACCTCAGGTCCACGAAGAAGGCGTACTAGATGTAAGAAATGTGAAGCATGTAAACAAGCAGACTGTGGAGAATGTTCATTCTGTAAGGATATGGTAAAGTTTGGTGGGCCTGGTCGAGCTAAACAGACATGTGTCATGAGACAGTGTTTACAGGTGTGTTTCATTATTTAAAATAAGTTTAGAACATGTTTACAATGTATTTAAATTGTTACAGCCAATGTTACCAATTACTGCGGCTTGTGGAATTTGCTCATTAGATGGTTGGGGTCAACAAATAGTTATACCCATACAAAAAACTGCTAAAGATAGTCCTAGTAATCTAATGGAATGTAGTGTATGCTTTGAAATAGTCCATCCAGACTGTTTATTAAAACAAGTGAGTAATAAATATTAGTTTTTATTCTGTTATTTAATAATTTGTATTCATGAGCTTTGCTAAATAAATAAATTTTCTAGTCTATTTTTACGAATAATGGTACTTACAATGAAGATCTACCTAATAGTTGGGAATGCCCAAAATGCTGTAAAGAAGGGAAGCATTTGGAAAGCAAGGTAACTGTATTAAAAATTGTAGAAAAATGATTTATACATTTTTTTTATTGAAAATTATATTTTTTTATCTTCTTTTCCCTTTCATTTTTGAAATAAATGAAATCTAACAACGAAATAAAATCTATCGGGATTGAACACGTTTAAATTTATTTTTATAAAATGTTACTTAAAAGCAAATTAAGTACTTAAAAAAGTCTGAAAAAGCATTGAATGACACGTTGACTGCGTATGTGTTTTTGAAGTTTCCGCTTAGTGTGTATGTTATCTTTATCATCAAATGTAATTTTGGTACTTAGAAAAAAAGTGTTCAATAATACATATTAACCATTTTTTTTCAACTTTGAGTTTATGAAGCCAATTAGTGTGTCTTAAGCGTCACTGAATTTTTTTTCAACAGTGAGCTTGGACGCCAATTAGCGTCTTGGTTATTTTTGTTGATTTTTTTTTTTAGAAATGCAACAGAAGTATGTACAATTAAATTAATAATATACTAGTATTACAAAAATCTTATATAAAATTTTATTTTTATTATTATCTATCTATAATTTAAAAAATGATAAATACAATTTATTGTGTATTAAAAATATGAATAGGAATCATTTTGTTTATTATTACTTAAATAATTATGTAAAAACTTAAAAGTTAAAAAAAATATAAAACAATTATTGCATAAGAAATTTTTAAAAACGTGTAAGACACAAACTTAGTTTTTGTTTTTGTGCAAGCGTCACAGTAGTATGTACCAGGTCTTATTTTAACGGGCAGTACGACCCAAATTGGTAGTAGGAAAAATCAAATGGGTAATTGACTTTTTGAATATGAGCATCTTACAAAAATATAATTTTCTATATAGAATGATTGCATTTCTACTGAGTATGTATTTAAAATTTGTATAATTTATAAACCCAACCTAGTATCTAATAAGTATTAATAATGTAAGTTTACAATCTTTGCTACTTAGATGATTGATTAATCTATGAAATTTAAATTTAAACAGTGGTTAGTATACGTATAATGGAAAAGATTTGAATTTTTTTTTAATATTTTACCACGCCATGGTCAAAATTCTAAAATATCAATAAACAATTTATTCGAGGAGGGAGTAAGTATTATAATCCAATTAAATTTCATAAAACAAACTTCACTATGTTTGGGCAGTAGATGAAAATCCTTAGAATAAGTTCTGATATGTACTATCTTTTCTGATACAGTTTTTGTAACACAGCTGACATATTTTCCTCAAATTTTTCCCATTTTTACCCATTTCATGTGTAGATGTTTGTCAATATTCAATAATTTCGATGGTCTTTCCGACTTAGGTAATATTTACCTAACTAACTTACAACAATTATGTGTAAATCATATAAACTTAATGTTGTACAGATATTATATTGATTATATAAATTGTAAAAGTTCAAAAGTAGCGTTTGTATAATATGTATACCTAACTTTTTGTATCACCTGATCATTTTTCTTATGAGGGCTAATAACTCATCATCTTTAAATATAATTAATCTCAATAGAACAATTTTCTTAATAGGTCAGTGTCATTGTTTTTTTTAGTCAGTTGTATATCCTGAACATATATATGTTCATTTAGAGAGTATATTTTTCAATATATTAATAAAAAAAATTTTTCATTAGCCTCGCCACTTCCGTGCTCGACATAAATCATCAGACATTCGTCGAACTTCAGTCAGTAGTAATGATAATACTCAAAAGCGTTTTAAGGTAAGATTTAAGTGTTTAAAAAAACCATTTTTTTTTTTTTTTTTTTTTTTTTTAATAATAAAATATTTTTTAGGAAAATGATTATTCTGATACAAACTCAGAAAGTGACATGGACAATGGTCCTAATAAAAGACTGAAAATGGAAAAAAAAGAAAACGAATCTAAAGAACATTCGCCAACTTTACCGGTAAATATATGTTTTATTTATATTATATTTACTGAGTTATTTAAATATTTTTTTAACAAGTGGTACGTGTGTTGCTTTATTAATTTTTTGATACTAAGCATGATATTAAATATTTATTTCCTACAAAATCAATATCCAAAGAGCATTAATGAACAGTATATTTATTCTATTAATTATAAAATATTAAAATTATGACATTCTTGTGAAAATTTAATTGATATAACATCTGATTACATCTGTACACAATATTCAATAAAGTTATGAATTTTTGAGAAGTTTTAAATGATAAATACTTTTATTGTATACATTATAATCTGCATTCATTTTCTTCTAAATTTGAAGTTAGTATATAAAATATATCAAAATTTAATTTTATATAAATTTATCATTATTGATTAGTTTTTTTTTTTTTCAATTAATATATTTTAGACATAATTGTAAAATAATAGTCTTTAATATTTTAGTATTGTTATATTGTCTATGTTCAATAGTGTTTATCTTAGATTACACATTACTTTTGTCTATTATGACTAATTTTGCCATTGCTTAAGACATATTATGCAGTACTTCATATTTTTTGAATGTCAATTATCCCTACTGCATGACTTATTTGTTGTATATTATAAAATTAATACTTAAACATAAATAATAATTGGGCTTTCTTTTTTTAAATTAATTTTTACTTCATATGGTTTATTTTAATATTAATTTGATAGACTAAAAATTTGTAGTTTTTTGTATACAATTTTTTTTTTGTAAATTTAATAATGTGAGTTAATGACATTTCAATAAATTATTTATTAATAAAGATCATAAAAAACATTTTTTTTTCAAATGTAAATAATAATTATTTCTTGAGAAATATAAAAATTTCCCTTTAATATTTATTCAATTGATATAAATTTAACACATATTTTGAAATAATATTTTATGTATCACTAACATAATAATAGATTGCATTATTGCTATAAAAAAATATCCAACATTCAATTAAAAATTCCAATAAACTTTTATTTAAAAAAATAACTATTGAAAAAAATTGTACAACCATCATTTATTAAGACTTATTAATGACACTACAAATACTTGGATGAAATAAATTTATAATTTATTTAGTAATAAATCCGAACAATGCTTAAATTAGGACTAATTATAACTGTTTAATTGCCAAATATACTGACAATTAATGTGAATCTTTTAAAAGAAGTTAATAGTTCAAAAATTAAATGTTTATAGTAATATTTGGATTGAATATTCTGAGAAAAATAAATAGGACTAATGAAAAATTGTTAATATACCCTTTTGTTCAATATTATTAATACTACTCCAAAACAAATTAGTACTTAAAAAGTACTTAAATTTTTTATTTTTCTCAAGGAAGAGATTTTCAACTACTAATATGATATATTGCTTTCGTGTTTTTTTTTCTTTTTTTTTTTTTTTTTGTGGGGTTGTTATTTAGATACAGCTGTCAGTGTACCCTACTGTCACCATTCAAACAATTTGATAATTGAAATAAACAATAAGTTAGTGCATTTAATATATACACCAGTTTGATTTCAACTGAATTATTGTTTTTATTATTTATATTTATTTATTTATTATATAACAGTTGAATATAATAAATGTTTTAGTTTTTATGACACATTAAAGGTATAAAATACCTGATGGATCATATGTTTTACTAGTACTTTTATAAATATTAAGTGTTAACTAATTATTTTCTTAATCAAGTTAAACACACTTATTCACTTGAATAAATTATTGAACGTTTAATTAAATAAAAATTAATTTATATTTTGATTATTAGATTTAAATATAATTAGACTGATTTAAAAACTTGAGTAAATAAGTTTTCTTTTAATAATGCATGTAATTTGTACTAAAATTGTATTATTATATTCATTAGGTCATAAAATTTACTGATTGGAGGAAATCCAGCTGTGCGGATTTCTTTTAAATAATGCTTTGTAACTCAACACATCATTGGTTTTCAGAGTTGACAATTTTTTTTTTAACTTTTTTTTACTGCTTACAATTTGTAGTTAATAGTTAACGGATGACACAAGGTATTATTTAAGTATTATTTATTGTTTTTTTTCTCGAGTTATTTTTATATTTTATTATTTGAAATTGGTTTAGTATTAATTTAAATTGAATATTATTTTGTAAATACCATTATTTTTTCTTTTTATTCATTGTTAAGTATGTGAAGTGCATTTAGAAGTATTCCTGTGTACCTGTATTTAGTGGCCATATTTATATATATATATATATTGTATGAACGTTATTTATGAATGTTCAATTAACATCTAAATTGATACTTAAACTTTTTTATAAATGTAGTTAAAAAGTTTTGATTTCTTTTTTTTTCCAATTACAGATTTTTTTTTAATTAATTATTAGTTATTTTGAAATTAAAAGTTATTAAAAAAAGAATCGGTATGTTTCAAATATGTTTTGCCAACAGTTAAATTTAATGTTTTATTAAGTCCATTTCCCTAATTAATTAATTTTAATTGTTACGATCAGTAAAAAAAAAATATATATATTTTGATATCTATTAAAGTTGTTTTTATTTTAGTTTATTAAAGAATTAGATATTTAACAGGTATATTACTTTTTGTTCTATTTATATTTTTATGCAGATGATAAGTGCTTATTAAAAATCTGGGCATGATAAATACTAAACAGTTAAGTTTTTTAAATGTGTAGATTTGTTAGCAACAATATTATCTTGCTTCATTACTACATCAATAGGAAAACAATTTTTGATTTGGTTTATTGACTTTTTATTGTAGGATCTACTTAAAAAATAAAAATATTTAGATTCGTATTCTAGTTTGTCTATAGTATGTTAAGTCTAATTACAATATTATTTTAAAAACTTGTTAAACTCATAGAATTTAGTTGATGGAAAAAGAACATCAAAAAGTAAGTTAGCCGGCACTCTATCAAAACGAAAAAAATCACGCAGTATATAAACAGTTATCAAGTTCGGTGCGTTTACTTTACATACAATTGATAAAAATCGTGGTTTTTTAAAAGAGCATTTGATATATAATTCAAGTGCTACTACTACAGGAGGTATTGTTGTACGTTGACTTGTGTTTTGAGTTTTGTGTTTTTTTTTTGCATTCGATGATTTAAAAGCGACCTTAGTTTTTCGGAACGATTGAAAAAAAATTCGAAGGTCGTCGCCATCACGTAAAAAAGTTAAAAATATCTTCGCTGTGTTTATTTTCCCCTTTCCGATATTTGTCGTAAATCAGTTTATTGGATCACCACCACGTATCACTGTTGTGATGCCCTCACCATCTTCAGGTACCGCGCGTAGATTTTCGTGGAGACTACCACCTATTTGTATATTACTTTTAGAAACGAGTCTTTCGCGGAAATCGAGTTTTTTAACGAGTTCATTTATAGATAGAAAAAAAACTTAAAGTAAACACAATATTTCGTTTGATATTTTTTTATAGAAATGGACGGAAGAGCATTCTATGAAAGTGTTAAATCGTTCTGTCAATGTCGAGGAGGCCCACATGTCAACGTACAACAACTCCGCGGTCTCTCCGTCCGTCGCGGAGCAGCAGCAACAGCAGCAGCCGCCGACGCAACAACAGTCGCAGACACAACCCCCACAATCGCGCAAAATCGATTTACGCAAGCAGTTGGCCAGTCAACTATCGGGTGGTTCGAGCAAGCACTGCAACGTGCTGAAGAAACAGTCGTACGTGTCTAAACCTACCAAAGGTGGCGGACAAAAGTCGCTGCCCGGCGGGGGTGGTGGCCAATCTCAGGGTGCGGGCGGCGGCAACGTGAACGGGCACCACAACAACCACGCGCACCACAATTATTGCACTGACGCAGCATGCGTGCTGCCGGTGTTCGAGTACCTCACGCCCGCCGAGTTGGCCAAGTGCGCGCTGGTGTGCCGCTCCTGGGCCGCCCTGTCCGTGGACCCGTCGTTGTGGCGCAAGCTGGACGTGACCGGCAAACGGTTGACGGCCTCGTGCTTGGCCGGCGTGGTCAAACGGCAGCCTGAGGTGTTGCTGATGGACTGGACCGCGATCGCCAAACGACAGCTGGAATGGATGATCGCCAAGCTGACCCGGCTCAAAGTGCTGTCGCTGCAGGGCTGCTCGTGGAGCGGTGTGACCGCTCTGCGCAGCACCACCGTGGTGCCGCCGTCGCTCACCACGCTCGATTTGAGTTTCGTGACAGGCATGAGTGACTCATCTCTGCGTGACGTCCTGTCCCCGCCGTCCGACTCGCGGTCCTCGTCTAACGACAACACCAACCGCGCCCGGTTCCGCAACCTCCGGACCTTGAAGCTGGCCGGCGTGGATGTCGGCGACGTGTCACTCCGGTACGTGGTCCAGTACGCACCGAACCTGGTCGAACTGGACCTATCGCAAAACTATCGGATCTCGGACGCTGGCATTGCGCAGCTCACTACGCCCGTCGGCAATGCCGTGTCCACGCTCGAGGTGCTCGACCTGTCCGGTTGCGTGTCTATTTCCGACGCGTCGCTCGACCATCTGCTCAAGTGCTCGGCCCTCCGACGACTGGACATGAAGCAAACGCCCAAGGTCACCACCGCGGCCATTAACAAATTCCTGATGGTCAACAACCGGTTCTCGGTCTCGGCCACCGAGACTCGACTGCTAATTAAGTCAGCTCCTTCTGCAGAAGAAACTTCTTCTGTTGCTACGAGACGTGATTCAACGGGCAGCAGTAGTTAAGTCGGGCCGGTTCGGTCCAGAGGAGCAAGAGAGATCACTACCACCATCACTGTGTGACTTTGTCTTAGTGGTTCCTGATGGATAAGTGGATGGAACAGTGTTAGAACTATAATTTTTAAAGCGATTGATAACTATGATAACTCGTCAAGACAAACAAGTCCTAGACTGAGACGCGTGTTCCCTTTTTTCCCATTTACCTAGATATGTATATTTTTTCATTTTTTTCCAACCCCGGGTAGTATTTTTTGTATTTATTTTAAATCTCCGTTGTACAACAGTGTTTAACTTGTTTTATTACATTTTTCCCCTTTGTATTTGTGTGATGTTCTTGTACATTTTACCTGAAAGAAGTTAGTTGACATGCCATTAGTGTACTACAGTCTTTAATAATTGATCACTGAAAGTAACCTTTGATCGGTGTGTACAACTGTCAAAACTTGTGTTGATTTGTTTTTACTTCAAAACATCAAAATTTTATTTTATTATTTACTAAAAATTATATAAAAAAAGACTGAAGTTTTGTTTGTATTACCGTTAGATTTATATATAAGTATAAGTTAAGTATTATAATTAAACATATACATATTATGCAATCAAATGTGTGATAGTTATATATCTTAGTACTATTGGGTGTTTGCAAGTCAATTTTTAAATGGAAAAAAAATTATTATTATCAAACTCATGCTGTTTAATGTATATATAAAGTTTGGTTTTTCAATTATAAGTAAGCTTTGACTGTGTTTCCTTTTTTGTATTTTATTTTGAATAAATTATATTAATATATATATATATATATATGTATGAAACACCTGCTCAATATTTATTGATGTTAAATTTCTTTTTGCTGTTTCTATCTATTTTCTTCTATTTTATGGTTATGAAGCTAATGGTGGTTACTTCTTAAAACTTATGTAGCACTACTTGATTATAATTTGTAATATATAAATATTTTTTCGATTAATTTATTTTACAACAGCTTGAACGAAAATATATTTTTTTAAAACTGTATAGTGTTATATATTAGAATATTGCTTTTCATAATATTTACGCTTATTATCATTGTGAAAATAATATTTCGAATTGGTCAAAAGAATTTATATTCTAGTAATTTAAATAAAGTTTGATCACATGTGCGCATTTGGATGTAATAATAATTATAATATTTATAATTATAATACTCGCGTAATTATTAATATTAATAATCACCTTATCGTGCAGTATGAATAAATACGCACACGAATAACAGTAGTCATTAAAAATGTCTTACCTGTTGTATTATAAGTCATATGACGTGTCTAAATTTACTCGTGGTGTCCGTGCATTGCTTCTCGAACATTATTTGTACCCAAGTCATAACTCTTTAATAGTCCAAAGTCCCACACTGAGGGGGAGAATCTTGTATTCGTACTGGTGAGTCTACCGTGTTATTTCGTATTGCAATGGAACTGGCTCGCCCATCCGCACCCCGTACGTCGTATTATTTACATTCGTTTAGGAACAATACGTCACGTTTCACATTAGATGACTGTTACTACACAAATAGTACATTCAGTTTACGCTGGAAATTATAGGTACTATACCGTAAACGAAGAATCCAATGTGGCTGTCGAAACGTTCGATTATTATGCCTAATTAATTGTAATAATTTTTGCGAACTACCGCGTTTTATTGCCGGCACCCCGTGCGGTGCACTCCGCTGCGAATTAGAAATTTTTTTTAAACGATTGATGCGCGGAATGTGTGTCGGTTGTTAATCGCTTTTTTAACATTCGCTGGCGATTCCGACAGTCTTCGGTTGTGCCGTAAATTAACGATGTTTAGCTAATTAACGACGCGGTGCGTTATATGCGTTTTATTGACCATCCGTTTTTATGTTATTATTAGTGTCTGGAGACGCGATTTCTAACACTCTTTCGTAAATGATCAACGTCTTTCTCTCACTCCTAACCGGAAAAGTCGTCGCACGCAATATTTAACGTCGACTGCCGTGTTTGAACGGTAATAGTGTAACAGTGTTTGTTCTACGTGAGTGTTTATCGTTTTCCAGGAACCGCAACCGACCAAAGAACAGCCGGCGATGTCCATCACTCCTGTCGATACCGATAAGTCTGATTTTGAAAATAAAACGCCTCATAAAAAATTCGTAAGTCTTTAAACCGTAACGTCTTGGACCTAATGCGCGAGTTATTATTTTATTTTATTTATGATTTTTTTTCATTTCGTCCCCGCAGAGACGGAATCTGACTGAGGAGAAAAAACCTGTGAAATCCGAGCCGAGCACCAGTGGCGGCGGTGGCGGTAACAGTAGTTCACCTTTGGTAGCGACGGCTGCCGTGGCACCGGCTACGAAAGTGCCGTCCAGCGATGGTGGATCGAAACAGTCGAAACGACCGGCGGAGGTGAGAAAATTTTGTATTTATTTAGAAATTTTTTTTCCGTGGGCGCGCCCCGTCGGTGAAACCTTAAAGTGGTAATCGATGATTGTTACCTGCTTTTAGCCCGCAGAAATGAACGTGATGGAAGCGTTCAATCAGTGTATGGTTAAACAGGCGTCCCCGACGATAAAAATGGAGGCGGCCGAACGTCCTTTCGAGTCGGCCAACACTGTCGCCGATTCCGGTGTTATCGTCAAAAGAGAAAAGCTGTCGCCCATACGTATTGTGAGTGAAGCATAATTATCGTTACAAGTGTTACGTTCAGACTTCCATGGTTTTTATTTATTTTATTTAACCACCCTCGTCAATTGTTCGCAGTCGGAGTATATACCGGAAACTAGGGTCACCCTGGATTCTGCCGCCACAGTATCTGGTAGTGTCAAGATCGAAGAGGAGATCCGGACCAATGAGCCTATCACTAACAACTTAGACTTGCCCATCGACGAGATACTGTCAAATTCAAAAAAATGCAATCACATGCCCAAGTATGTTGTCCGACCAGTGCCTAAATTAGACTCAGGCGAGCAAGACAAAGAACCGCAGAAAAGGAGTTCTGCGTTAGTGCCTGTGTTTAAGTTCCTGTCTGCCGAAGACCTCAAAAACTGTTCGCTGGTGTGTAAAGACTGGTATACTGCTACTATCAATCCAATACTATGGAACCGCATGGACCTTACCGAATCTGTTATAACTTCAAAATTAATTAAGTGTAAGTGTATTATGTGTTTATTTTGGATTCAATTTCAGTTCCGAGTAGTTGTTTAACAATATTACCAAAGGAGAAAAGACTAAATTGCCATTTTGAAATCAATTGAACATAGTTAATAATTGTTTTTTGCAGATGTGATGGTCAGACAACCCAAGGTTCTTATTCTGGACTGGTGCAAAATTTCTAAAGAACAACTTTCATGGCTGCTTGTTCGGTTACCACAAAGCAAGGCATTATCTTTGCAAGGCTGTCCCTGGTCTACAGTATCATGCCTTCGGTCATGTGTGTGTCCAATGCTTACGTCGCTAAATCTGAGCTTTGTACCTACCATGGACGACGCAGCTCTGCAGCACATTCTGTCCCCCCCGCTGGATCACAGGCCAGGCTTAGTGGACTTAACTTGCCGATTATCAAACCTGAAATCATTAAAATTAGCTGGCAGCAATATTACTGATACAGGTGTCCGAGTCATTATCCGGGTACTACCCAAGCTATCCATGCTTGATCTGTCCCAGTGCTATCCAATTACTGATGAATGTGTAGAGTTGCTTACCCAAATCAGTGGCCTATCTACATTACAGTTGTCGGGTTGTACTGGTATCAGTGAACTATCATTGAAACACTTGGGAAAATGTAAGAGTCTAACATACCTGGATGTCAGACATACAAAGCTAACCAAGACTGCAGTAAATAAGTTTGTGGCGACTCGGGAAGGATTCAGAGTTTTTGACACTAAACTTATAGTAAAACTAGACAAGTCCTGATACAGGCTTGAACCTCCGGAATATTTAGACTTCGGATTCTAACCGCATATTATTATATTGGCGGCGGTATTTGTACATTATGTAAATATAAATTATATATTTTTTCAGATATAAAACATATAGTTTAGTTTTATAAACATATACATACTGTATTAAATTTAAATTATTTAACTATATTTACTAATTATGTACCATTTATCTGTGTATATATTTATATAAGACAACAGTATTTGAATATTATACTATTGATGATTGATTAGTACATGATTGTTAATACTATAGAATATTATAGATGATTAGAAATAGAAAACAATGTTTTCTGACACTTATTTGAAAATGAAAGAAATACAACGTTATGCTTTTAAGTTATCATATATTAATTATTTTTAATAATTTAAGTAATTATTCTAATAAGTATAATTTATATATATGTCTAGTCCTAAGTAATACTTGCAGCACGTCATTATGTGATTCATGCGTGTTGTGTATTATGAATACAATTTTTTAGAAGTTTATTTTTTCCCAACATACATTATATAATCATATTAATCATGAAGTTAACAATAAACTATGAATTGTAAAATAATGAAGTTATGTAAATGAAGTTTTTCTTTCTCCTCGCTCACTAATTCATGTCTTGTCACGGATCGCTCTGCAGCAGTTATATGCTGGTGTATAGACAAACAATACTTTGTTCTCGACTAGGTGGTTTACAATTTTGTCTTTGAGAACGTGGATAGCGCACAAGAAACGCAGAACACGGGTTGATGGCGGAGTTCTGGTGTCAGGATCAAGCCGTGTTCAATTCTATAAAATCATTGTGCACCACGTTCTTGTCCACTTCCGCCGATGGTTGTGGCACTTCGTTCACGTATTTCCGTTCGTACTTTTTCATGAACACGATCAGGTCGTCGTAAACGATGTTCTTTATGTCGCTGGCCCACAAGAAGTCCAAGTGGTTGAACTCGGGATAGGGCATGACTTTATTCTCCACCACGTTGGGGAGCCTCTGGGCAAGTACGTTGACGTCCTGGAAAAATGGAACTTTCTATTAAACGGCACTTCCTTCATTTTTGGTTTCATTTTTTGCTAAAGTAAGCATTACATTTAATTTTTTTTTATCTCCTTAAATTTTGTAGTTAAAATTAAAATTGTCGAAAAAGGTTTATGAAAAATCTTTGCACTAATACCTATATAATTTATTTTGAGTTTATTAATTAATATCTAATAATATAATAGTATAACAATTTAAGTGCTAAAAGAAAATACAACTGTGCTAATTTTCATGTTTATAGGAAATATTTTAGAGCTGATTTATTATTTGGTCATAAAATACGCATTTTTAGTACTCAATTGTGCTATAAAATCTGAGTCTTGGTTATTTGTAATAATGAATTGTATGCGCGCCTACCTTCATGGTTGATAGCCAATCGTTTTCTGCGTGGTACAGAGCTGTTGGCACGGTGATCCCGCTCAATTCGTAAGCAGGAGGGTCCGGTTGTCCATATACTTCCATGTTCTTCTGTTTGTTATAGTTGTACTGGCCAAACCATTGATCTTTAAACATTAATGCGCAGTAAAGTTAATTAGTATCTGTGGTTCATGGGCGAACCCAGAGGAAGCACTGGGGGAAGTGCCACACACGTTAGAAAAAAATAATATTTAAAATAAAGTATGTTTAAGAGAGAACTAAACCATAGATTATAAAAATAAATGTTGACAGTTTTTGTACAATATTGTCAAATTATATTTATTTTTGAGTGGGAGGTCTAAGCTCCCAATCAAAACATTGTTATATTTACTTATGATCAGCTAAATTACATAATTTCTTCTATAAAGTGTCCAGACCGTAAGTAGATGCTAGATCTGCCCTTGCGGTGGACCAATTAAAGTAAATATAACACGATCACCAGATTAGTAATAAAATATTTAATTATATATAAAAAAATTAGTGTTTCACATGAGTATTGTTAAACATGTATTATGTGTATATTTAAATATTTTATTTCATATACAATAGAACGTCAATAACTCGAATAAATCCGAAGGAAAAAAAAAATGTTGAGTTATCGAAAATATTTTATTATACAACACAAAAAACTTTATTTTTTAATTTAATTTATTTACTTAAACCATGTATAATTTATGTATGTATGTATTACGTTTTCAAAAAACGTATTCTATAGTAAAATAAATATATAAATAATAAAGAAAATAAAGTAGGACTATTTTTGTAAGAAATTACATATTTTTGATTGATTTTATTGTATAATAAAAATGTATCTGTAAAGTTAAATTATGTTCAGCGCGAAAAAAAATCTCGTTTGGAATTTTTGGTTGTTCGCTAATATATTTATGGACTTCCTGTAAATCACCAAGAGAGCCGACAAGTGTAGTTAAGGAAATTCCACATCGTCATCAATATCAGAATCCTCCTCACTTATTGGGCATTTCTTAATTATTTATTATTGATATTCATGAAAATGCACTAATTAAACATACACTTACTATATTATTTCAGTAATTTTCAGTATAAAAATACGGGGAATAGTAAGTTCCTACACGATAAAAATCAGATAGCTATGTAAGTTCCTACATGGCGTAAAAAGGTGTAAATATGTATATACGATGTATATACAAATAAATATATGATAAATATAATGATACAATATAATACAATTTGCGTAACGCATTTTCATAAATAAGTATATAATAATTAGATTTGTTATTGAAACTTTATACGCTGATATTGCGTGGTATAGCTATTTAATACAACTATAAATTCAAATATACTTAATGTAAAGCAAAACGTATACGAAATCACTGGAAAATACAACAAGCTACAAGCTGATAATAGTATCCCGATTCCCGACTCGACATATTTACAACTTTTCACCATCGATAAAAATGATACAGAACTTGATTTCGGTTTAATAATCTTAAAATGACTTATAACTATACGCAGTAAAATGTACATCTAGTTATTTCTCCTAAAAGTTTTGTTAGTATTGTTCGAAACATCCGTGTGTCCGTACATATCCGTCTATACTAATCATATACAGTTATACAAAGTCACAATGAGCGAGAATGTATCATTCATGTTGAGTGAAAAAGGCAAAGAACTGCTAGTTTTGAATGATTTAAAATTTTTTAAACATCATACATCTAAAAAAAATGAAATTACGTGGTGTTGTGTTATAAATAAGTGTAATGCAAAAGTTTATACTTTGGATCAAAATGCCCAATTAATAAATATAGATAAATCGTGTTTTGGTCACATTCATGCAAGTGATGCCACTTTAAAACGGCAAAAAATTAGTAATTCTTGCAAAAGAAAAGCTGTAGACTCTATAGTTGAAAAACCGTCAAAAATAATACGAAAAGAAGTATCAAATTATACTAACGAAGGCGATTTAATTGCACCCGACTTAAAACTCATAACAAGGAATATTCATAATGCAAGGATGCATTGTTTTCCCAAACTGCCGACATCAAGAAAACAAGTTCACGAAATATTAAGTTTATTAGACATAAAAAAAAATAAAGGTGAGTTTTTTTATATGACAACAATGCGCTAAATGAAATAATTATTTTTTCATGTAAAACTAACATAGATTTTTTAAAAGACTTAGATGTTTTGTACATGGATGGTACTTTTAACTATAGTGATAAATATTACATGCAACTATACATGATTCATGGAATTAAAAATGGAGTATACATTCCGTTAGTGTTTTGTTTATTGCCAAATAAAGAAAAAAAGATTTACATTTCATTATTGAAAACAATTAAAATAACTGGAGTAATACCTAAAAAAATATTTTAGATTTTGAAGTAGCAATGTATCAAGCAGTTTTTGAAATCTTTCCGGACACAGAGGTGTTTGGCTGTCGTTTTCATTTGGGCCAAGCTTGGTATCGTAAAATTCCAAATTTAAGTTACGCGCCACAATTTAATTCTGCAAATGACGATGTAGGAAAATGGTTGGTACTTATTTTTGGACTTCCTTTTTTCAATCCAGAGGAAGTGGCAGAATGTTTCACAAAACATTTTATGGCAGATAAACCTGAAAATGCATCTATAACCGAATTTTGTGATTATTTGATAGACTATTATATATCAAATGAATCAATCTTTCCTCCGAAAATGTGGGCGCGGCAATGTTCTGATAGAGTCCATAAGAAAAATGCTTGTGAAAGTTTTCATTTAGATTTTAATTCAAATTTTTATCATCAACATCCCAATATTTTTAAAATTATTGAAATTCTCAAACTTTTTAAAGTAAATACGTATATAAAAATGAGAACTGCCATCAGTAACCAAACGAAACCAAAAATCAGTAAAAAATACGCCGAAAAAGTAGATTTTATAACTGAAAAAATTTCAGATTATAGAACAAATAAAATTAGCCAATACGATTATTTTAAATATTTAAGTTATAGAAATAAAACTCATAAAATATAAGTTAGGTTTATTTATTATTATTTGTGACGATGCGTAATGCAATTTTTTTATATTTTATAATATTCGTATATTTATTTGTGAAAATGCGTTTTGCCATTTTTATTATATTTTTTATTTTTTATATTATATTATATTCAATCGTGAAGAAGGAAAATGGGTTATGTGATTTTTATTATATTGTATAATCATCATATATTTATTTGTATATATATCGTTTACACCTTTTTCCGTCATGTAGGAACTTACATAGGTACATTTTTCCACCGTGTTGAAACTAACGGCTACATCCGAATTGGTTTCCATACCTGAAAATTGACATCCGAATTGGTTCCCAACATTCCAGGCAACACACATCCGAATTGGTTCCCAATAAATACTTTCGAAAAAGGCGAAATCCAATCTAATTATATTTGTTATTTAATATTATTATATTACTAATATTTTGAAATTTCCCATCTTTATAAGTACCAAGGTGGATTGATAAGTACGAATTTCGGAATGGATGAGATAAATTATCATTTAGATAAAAACCGTGATAAAACGGGCGTTATATTATCGATATTAACGGATATCTAGTCGTATTTATAAGTCAGTACGGCATTCAGTTATCCGCCGTAATAACCGCAAAGTGTTTGTATTAATGATTGTATTTATGTTTAAATCTTTTCGAATATGGAATTTATGTACAGTGAAAAAAAATAAAAACTTATTGTATTTGAAGGTTATAAATTTGGGTTTCAAAAAAAGTTGGCAGACGACATTGACCGTTGGACATGTGCAAAAAGAGCACGTAAGTCGTATTTGAAAACAAATAATTTAAATACAATTTTTGATTAAAATATAATACATAATCATGAAAAAGACGACGAAAAAAAACTTAATAGACAGAAATTAAGCAACATTTCAAAACGAAAAGCTCAAGATGCATTACATGAGCAACCAGCAAAAATTATTCGCTGTGAGTTGGCTAAATCCGATATTGAAACCATAGACGCTCAAGATGTACGTAGAATTAGAAAAAATATACATACTAGTCGATGTAGTACAGTACCCAAGTTGCCCAAAATATTGAGCGAGATTCATAATATATAATATCTTAAATAATTATAATTTAATAACTAATCGTGGAGAAAATTTTTTATTTATTAACAGTGCTGAAACCAATATTATTGGTTTTTCATGTGATAACAATTTGGAAGTATTGCGTCAAATAAAATTTGTGTTTATTGACGGTACTTTTAAAAGCTGCCCAAAGCTTTTTTTGCCAACTTTTTTCAATTCACGGTGTAAAAAATAATTACTATGTTCCTCTAATTTTCTTTTTACTTCCAAATAAAACGAGTAATACGTATACAAAAGCTTTCCGTTTAATTCAAAATTATTTAAGCCCGAATGAAATATATGTGGATTTTGAAAGAGCCATTCATGTAGCGATCTCCGAAGTATGGCCTTTAGCCCAATTAAAAGGTTGTCGGTTTCATTTGGGTCAATCATGGTGGAGGAAGATACAACAATTAGGGCTTTCAAATGAATTTAAAAATAATGATTCCGAAATAGGACAAACATTAAAATTGTTTTTTGGCTTATCTTTGTTATCACCCAAAGAAGTTAACGATTGCTTTACTAATGATTTGATGTCATTAAAACCGATTAATGGAAAACTTGAAGAATTCTTTGATTACATATTAGAAAATTATATTGAAAATGATAGTTTATTTCCACCATCAATGTGGGCTGAATATACCAGTAGTATAGAACGAACAACTAATTGTTGTGAATCATTTCGCAGCAAGTTCAACAGTTGCTTTTATTCCGCACATCCAAATATTTTCCAATTCATGAACGTATTAAAAGAAATTCAAATTGAAACTTATGTAAAATTATGAAGTACTGACAAAAAACAAAATGTTAAATCTAAAAATAAAGAAACGTATATCAAAACAGAAATAGAGAAATATAACAGTAATGAAATAAATCGATTAGAGTTTATAAAAAATGTTTGTTATACATTTTTACTTCAATAATACTTGAAAATAAATTGACGAATTAATATTATGTTTATTATATTATTATAAAAATATCATTATACAAATTAAAGTGAAAAAAAAAATCAATGTTATATATACATACAGTCCTAAGTCTGTATAAAATGGGAAGGAAAAAAGAAAATATTTTGACCCGGGAACCAACTCGGATATACCTTTCCTATCAATCCGGGAACCAATTCGGACGTTTCGGAACCAATTCGGACACTCCGAAACTAACGTATGTATTTTTTTTACCTGCTACTCTCGCGTAGGAACTTACATTCGCCCGAAAATGTATTTGTATATAGAAAAATTCAAGTTATAAACAAAAATTTAACTTAAATGACTTAGAGAAAATGTATTACATATATATATTTAGAGGTGGATGCCAAGACATTCCTTCGAGTTATCGATGTTCCACAGTATATATATATATATATATAAAATAATATATTTAATTAAAATTAAAAATTAGTAAATGGTTAATACTCGTAAATTAATATAGAAATAAATAAAAAATAATTCATATATAGAAATAAACGAATGCTTAACCTGGAGCATTATTATATTAATAATCCGGACTAAACATTTATTTAACGTATTATATATTACTAACTGCGTTTCATGAGTTGAGCAAAATGAGTGAGTTGTCGAGCAGACGCGCCGGCCGGAGTGTGCGCCAAGATGATCGGCAGAATGCTCTGAAACGGATTCATAATTACTATACGGTTAAGTATATTATATTATATATATTTCGTACATATACGTATGCGTGTATGAATATGTATTATATGGATTACACGTATATTATAATATTATTATCAGTAGCGTTACATATATCAGTTTTTCGTCCCTGTGTGCATCAAGAAGTAATAAAAAAATAATTGTTTTAGAATTTCATAAACTATACATTTTTTAATCCAAGGAATCAAGCCAATAATAGAGATCACATACATTTTCGATTGTAGTACTGATTTCTGCTGCGCAACAGCCTCAAATGATTGTCCAGTAATATTGGTGACGCTAAAAATATTTCTGTCCCTCAAACTGCAGTCGCTTTCCCCCCCTCCCCATCGGAAAATTGCAAAATTTGATATCATTTTTGTTTTGTTTTAAATTTGTGAATATTTTATCGATGACGAACAAAATGGTAATGACAAATTTATCCGTAAGTTAGGTACAAGCCCAAATTATGCTCCAAATGTTTTCAAATATAATATTAAAATAATGGGCCTACGCAGTTAAGAAGTTCGATTAAACAACGTAATATATTAATATTTAACTCTGTATTTATTTCGTGTTATACTTTGATTAGTCGTTTTGAATCATATCCGGCGTACAGGAACAACATGTTTTCGCAAACGCCTTCGAACAAGGAGTTGGCCTCGCAGAACTTTTTTCCCGCGAACAGCAGGATCTTGCCATTCGGCCTGAACTCGTAGTATCCCAAACTGTTGCACAACCACTGAAAAGTCAACAGTAGTTCAATCATTTTCAACAGTTTCAAACATATTGTCGCCCTTCATGGCCACACTTACGGCCAGCGGGTCAGCTATGGATGATAAGAACGTCATGATGGGACTCTTAACGTGATTTAGGTAAGCGATCGGTGCCATGGCTGCCATTGACCGAATCTTCTCCTGGTACTCCGGTCTCTCCGAACATAAAACGAAGAATATGGCGGTGCCCATCGAATGTCCCACGTAGCTCAAGTCCGGTTCACCCGTCTTGTCCAGGATGTAATCGATCGTGTTCGGCAAGTCGATTGTTCCCATCTCGTGCCAGCTGAAAAATGACATGACATTACACCATGCATGAACATTTTTTTTTAAGGGATTTGGGGGTTACCCCCTTCGCCCCTTTGGATCCACGTCTGGTTGTAGTCTAACTTTCTATACCATAGTTAAAATTGAGTAATGACTATTTCATGAACGGTCACTCCGCCGTATTACTACAATGATGGCCACGAGATGTATTTACCTGAAATCCCAAAACTTTTGCGGCTCCTTTGCCGGGTCCAGGAATATGTGGTTTCTGGAGTACGTGTTCCCGCGGGAATTTGTCAGCCACACATCGTACCCCGCGTCCGAAAGTACAAATGCTGAAAGGCAGTACAAATTAAATACAATTAAATGGCAATATCGATCGTATATAATGTGTTAATATCTTATCCGCGCTCTCTGCGGATTCAAATAATTCCGCAGGTGCAGCAGTCAAGTATTTGACGCGAATTCGATTCGTTTTGCACTTACCCAGACTGTTATTTTGTCCAGCGATCACCCAGTCCGTCGAACTGCATAATATACCATGTTGCACCAACACAACAGGTTTTCTCGTGACTGCCGCTGGGTCTTCGTTTTTGCTGTATGGTATTCTGTGTAATGTCAAATTGTAACCGTCGGTCGTGATCACCGTGTGCCTCTCTATCGGGTACCCCTCCTGTTTGATATAATCGTCCTAAGAAAAATAAGATGTAAATTAAATATGTACATCATGCTTGTTATTTAGTGGCATAATTTCACCTCATGTATTTGCCACAATATAGAATTTGCTATTTCAAAGTCAGCATAACATCAAAATAGAAATATATCTTTTATAAAGTTATTGACATGTTTTAAATCAGAAAAATGATACATTATACGAGTACTTAAGTACAAAGTACAAATCATTATATTTTTGGACTGGTTCCCCTCCCTATCATTAAACGGCATGAGCCGCCATCTCGGAAATGTAATAAGACCATGACGACTACTCTACTCTAGAAAAAACTAAAATGGTGCCACTGTTGTCGTACGGTTTTTCGTTATTAGAATAGGTGTTCACGTGAAAACTTAATTATCTTACAATTAACAGATAATTTGTTGGTTGATTTTATTAATTCTTGTTGATTTCCGAAGAGTATTACACATTTGTAAAATTATGATTATTGTTATAAAAAGCATAAATTAACATCAAGAAGATGTAATATTACATGACCTCGACGACTTCTTTCGTAGAAAAAAACGTTTTCGATCTTGGTATTTGTTGTACTTTTGTCGAATAACCTTGCGGGACTATTATCATGAAGGTGGTATTATATGATCAGTACCGGAAAGCCAAAGCCAGCGTTAGGGGGAGGCAAAACGGGACATTTGTCCAATACCTCGCGCAAAACGTAAAACGCGTGGATCGCCTGACGAGTGCGATTTCTCGAGATATCCGTTGTCATATAAGAAAACAATATTATATTATATTTATTATGTCATGAATGCACCAACCCGGGATACCTAGAAAGTTTATTTTATCGCATTTCTTAAATTTAATTAGTTATTACCCGATATGGCGTGCAACTGTCACCTAGTCTGATTACATATTATCGTATTTAATTATGGTCTATAGGTGACTATGGTTTTTGATAAAATGAGTTTTGCTCAGGGCTTCGCAAAAGGTAGCGCCGGCCCTGGGAATGACCCACAGGCAGTGTCGCAAAAACCAAGTGTGCAGTGTGCCGCGCACACGAGCCTCTAGGCTTACATACATTTGGGGGGACCCCCTAGTCCCAGCCTAAAATAAACTACACTTTACAAATACACAATTAATTAATACTATATTATTATTTTATAATAAAAAGAAATTTTTTTAAAATTCAGGTAAGGATGTTATAATATTTTAGAGGAATATAATATTTATTTAATTATGGGTCTATTGAGTATTTGAGTAGGAATACAATATACCTACTTAAACTACTTAAACAAATTTACTACATAAATATGTAGTGAAGTACAATATACAACAGTTGTAGGTATTTCATTTTATATAAATACATATATCATATACTAGCTGATGTGAAACATGTTTTAAAACCTAAAAAATTGATACTTATAAATAAAACGTACAACAAAAATAAATCCTAAGAAGGGGCCTAATATAATTATCACATACTGGCCTCCTATTTTGTAGTTGCGGCACTGCCCACAGGATGTGCAATCGGTTTGATTAAGGCTCGATCGAGCGTACCTGACCTAAATATAATAGTGAGATGACAAGGTCTCGCAAGGTCTAGAGGTACTATGAAAATCATCTTTTTAATATACGTTTGGTCTTGATGACCTTTGTCCCCATTAACGGCTTCGACGAGTTTTATGTGAACAACATAGGTTGTGTACAATTATTGCATAGGACGTGCCAGTTGAGATTGAACGACCATATAGCACTACACAATAACACTATTCTCGTATATTCATGTTTCATTTAGGTTTCGAAATGTCACGATTATTTTGTCGTATTTTGTACTATTATTAAATGTGTATAGTATACTATTCGTACATCAGCGACGGCGGCAATTGGATCACGTGATTTTGTTTTTCACTGAAATAAAAAAATGTTTAAAATTTAATATATGCTGGCCGTCATTATAGCTTTAATAATAATAACGGTAATAATATCATCATCGTGTGTTGAGATTTATGTGATTGCACTAATAGCGGTGATTTAAGCAACCGCCAAAAATTGCGTAAAACAACGCTATCGCGCAGCAGTATATGGCACAAAAATATGTAGCTGTGTTGATAAAGTAATATACTATATTTGTCCGTAAAAAAAAAAAATTCTATTAAAAATAAATCGTCATGAAACATGTAACAACACATATTTTTATTAAAATACTTGTTGGCGCGCTTAATTGAACCTGATAAGTGTCTCCGCGAATCGAGATGACTCGTATTATACTTGTATATTCGTATTACGATTTACTAACTGAATCTAATCTAACTTTGACATGCGACTTTAGGCGAAAGTTCGAGCTTACATACTCCGCGAGTTGCTTCATTTACCTCATTATTATTATTATCCTGTTAATCAGGGCTGAATCTAGCATATTTTTTACTCGGGGAAAAGTAAACAATTAGCGTTGAGTACATTTAACATAATATTCAATTTTGATTTTTCTTGATTTTTTGGCGGCAAAATCGTTTATAAATTTTCAATTGATAAATGGTTAGTTTGTCCTGATTGGTTGAAGACCTAAAATAGGGTTTGATTAATTATAACTTACTAAAACTTTGCAAGATTCTACAGTCACAGGCATTAAAAATGTATGGCATGCTATTGAAATATTAGGATGGGCATCTTGCAGATAATTTTTATAAATAAAATTTATGATTTCAAAATAATTCTTCATATCTTATTAGGTCGTCCAATGTAAAAATATGCTGTTTCAAACTTTGAATTTCGTATATAAATTCAATTATATTTAAATCTTTTTCATGCGGAATTCAACATCATGTATCGTCTGGTTATTATAATTTGTAGTCTGTAAGTATGCTATTAGCAATATAATGTACACCGATAAATAGAAACAGAAAAAATGTTTATAATTGGTACGCACAAATAATCCGTATCGGAAATATGCAAAATTAAAACTTTTTATTATAATTTTTTTTTTTTAAATACCTTATTTTGCTTATTTTATTTGATGAAAATTGTATTATTTTTTTTAAAAAAAAGGGTTCATAAAAATCCGAGATTATCTAATAACGGTGGTCATAGGTAATTAACTATCTAACCTAATGGTAAATTTGACCATTAATATAATACTTATTATACAACGAATAAAAATTCACCACTTTTTTACTAATTAGCTAGGTACGTGTTATTTGGTAAAATGGGGTCCCCAACGGGGGGGAGTGCCCCGGTTTGCTAGCTTTAGATCCGGCCTTGTCGGTAACGATTAAATAAATCGTATTCACATACATATTAATTAGGTACATATATCGCGGACTAACACGAGCAGTGTAAAAGAACAGACTAGCGAAAATTTGTTTTGTCTATTTTAATTTTAATTATTGTGACACAAATAGGTTGAATCAGCGTAACATTTGTTCTCTTGGTCCATCATTACACACTCGGTGGAATCTTTTTATCATGTTTTCTACGTTTTGCAACTTAAATTAGATAAAATATTCTATTAAGATATATTATTATTTTAAAATTACTTGAATTTTTATTTAACATTTGATTTAAAAGTTAAAAATTAATTTATGCATTTTTTGAAGATACATTATTTTCATTACAGCTACAAAATAGATTTTTATTGATTTTTGGAGTTTGAATATGTCACGTGTTTCTTTTTATCTCCTTAAGATCTTACCTTCAATCGATTATAACGAGTAAGACAAAATTAATACTGAAATATCTGTGCATGGCATTCAATCAACTGCTTAGTAATTTGCGGTACGACCAAAATGTTGAGAAACGCTATAAGTGGTTTTGCAGCTATAGTTTGTTTTGGATTTAGGCGCTATCGTAGCGTTTTTCATCAGTCGATCTGATCTTCATGGTTCAAATACGAATATGAGAATACTTTTAAATCGTCACAATACGTTGGTATCAGAAACTTGCTATGCTTATCTATCACTCTAACATCTTTCTATGTTATATTCATACAATATTAGTACGCACGCACTAAATCCTATGCAAGTACTGTCTGTTAATACGAGTCAACGTATTCCCTAATAAAATAACATGATACCCTCGTCGTTTTTAGTAATGGTTCAATAAATGTAGGGCTAATGTAGTTCATGGTATTTTACGAGAGATTTGTGGTCGAATCGTCAATGAAAATAATAATTATATATATTCTATATAGTACAGTTTCTCATGGCTCGCCGCGTCACATTTATATTTAATAATTATCATTCCATCGCGAAAAGTAAATATCGCAATAACGTGTGAAAAATCGCAACCTTTCAATACGTATACATTGTACATTCATAATTCTTGATAATATGCTTATAGAGATTGTTTACTATTTCTCATCGGAGGAGAAAAAATATATTGTTTTATTTTTCAATAAACAGCCATTTTAAAATACATGCCATAGATTTTATGTCGCGTTACCACATAACAATACTTTAATTCATAGATACCTACAGAAGTGAATTTATAAACACGACGACGTTAGGTAACTGCTTTGATAATACTATATGCGTACATCTATATGCGTTCTACCGCTTTTACTATATAATAATAATAATAATAATAACGTCTGTATATATATATATTATCATAATTATGTGCGTTTTCTTAAATTTAAGTTATGAGAGAATCTACACTGTGCCAAGGTTACCTAGTGGTAATGACCAGTTATTTGCGTGGTATACTATACACCTGTGCGGTATATAATAATTATTTGGTGTTTACTGCGTATTTATATGTTTATTATATTTTAATAATATAGCCCAAAAAGTAGACTTGAAAAAGGAAAGATTTATTTTACATTATTAACAGGTGTACACAAAAAAATGATAATACTAAGTTCAATGATAAATTATTGTGGGGAGAATTGCGTCGACGACATACCATTACGGTCGACGGGTATTTTAGTAATCGTTAATGCTACTCGTTAGACGTGAGTATTTACTTAGAAAGCACTATAAACGAAATTAAAATGAATAATCGAATTAGGAATAGATCGATTA